GGAAAATTGATAAATAAAATGAACAATTCTTACATTTTTATTCTTTCTTCCTCCAAACTCGATATGACTTTCCCAACAACCTAATAACTGACCCTTCCATCATGGTGATCGTTCGTTGATGTTGGCGCCAGTAGGGGGCGTAAGCTGTCAGCTGGAAGGTTCGTGAATTAATCTTTGATATATCTTGAGCACTGACAGCGAAAACACATGGCTGATATACGCAGTATCCATGTTTAGTGGCTATGTCATGTCGTGAAGTCGAAAAGATTGTTTGCACATAAATCGCTGTCCGTATCGGTGTGCTTTCAAGATATGTTCCAAATCTATTGCTGTTTCTTGGTTTAATGCGGTCTCGCGAAATACAAATATATAATAACATACACGCACACACACAAACACATGCACATATTGGTATATTTAGGCAGCAACCCATCTTTTATGCATGTTTTGTTGAATATAACGAATATGTTTTTATGAAGTTAAATTTCTTAGAAACCAAAAAATAAAAAATACTAAACTGTTACGCAATATCAGTTTTCCAATATGACAGTGAATGCTGGACAATCACCTCACAGATGAAAAAGAGATTTGAAACAACAGAAATATCGTTCTACAGAAATCTTCTATCTTCTCTAAAACTCCGTCGTTGCTCACATATTCAGTTCATGGTATTAGAGAAGATAGAAACAAAAAGGACACTTATGCTTAACATTAGGAAGAGATAGTTGAAATTTCTACGGCACATCATGCGGACGGAATATCAGATACTCACAGGTCAGATTGAAGGCAAGAGAGACAGAAGAAAACAACGTATAGTGGAATAAGGTTTATTTATTAAAAGTCACAAAAGAAAAGGAAGTTGTGGAGAGCCATGATCGCCAATGTCCTGCAAGAACAAGGCACATAGAAGAAGATTCTAGTCTCTTTAAACTTTTAAGATGATGGTAGAAGTATTGTTCATAGATTTTATTGCAATTTCGCTTAATTCTTTAGACATTTCAAGGATTTCTTTAAAAAAAAAGTAATGGCGATGAAGATTGTTACTCGATTTGTGCTGGCTTCCTTTCCTACAGGGGTTGGACATAATAATTGGAACACTTGTTAAATTCAAAGAAAATTTATTTAATATGGAGTTGGTCCTCCTTTAGCCTCACAGACAGTTTTAATACGTCTAGGAATGGAATCATACTGCTTCCTGACTTCATCCAGAGAATTTTCAGTCATTCTTCCATTAAAACCTTTCCCAGCTCTTTATGACACAACGCTGGAGGATAGCGGCTTTTAACTTGTTGCTCCAAAATGCACCACAAATGTTCAATAATATTGATATCTTGAGATTGGGGAGGCCACTCCATGTGTTCTAGCTCATTTTCCTGCTCTTCATACCAATTTTTAACCACTCGAGTGGTATGTATTGGAGCACTATAGACTTGGAAGATGCAGTCACTATCAGGGAATAAAATCTTGGCCATTGGATGAACATGATCTCCCAAAATGTTCAGGTAATCTTTGCTGTGGATTCTACCATGCAGGGTAACTATTGGACTGAGACATTTCCATGATATGGCGGCCAAAACTATCACTGTTCCACCTCTATGCTTCCCTGTTGGAAGAAGGCAGTCAAGGTTGTAAGCTTCTTTGGGCTGCCTCCACACATAAACTCGCCTTGAAGTTGGGAAAAGAGAAAAACTGGACTCGTCTGAGATATGACTTGCTTCCATTGGTCTGCAGACCAGGCACTGTGATCTCAGCACCACTTCAACCTCTTTTTAATGTTGCGAGTGGAGAGAAGAGGTTTCCTTACAGCGGCTATTCCATGATATGCAGCCTTATGGAGCTCACGACGAACAGTTTTAGTAGAAACTGAACTATTCAGATGGTTATTCTACTCAGCAGTCACTTTGGCCGCATTTGTCCGATGATTTTTTGCCACATTGCGTTTCGATGCACGGCAGTCCCTGTCAGTAAGTTTTCAAGTCCAGCCCGAATTGCTACGGTTGCTAGAGGTCTTATCCTGTTTCTCAAATTGCATCAGTGTTCTTGATATGGTAGCTCTTGAAAAACCAAACAGTTCAGCAACCTTAGTGATCGAGGCTCCTGCCATGCGAACTCCAACAATTTGCTCTTTTTCAAACTCGAAGAGGTCACGCATTTAGCTTAAATTTTACTAAATTCTAAAAATAAATAAGAAAAAGACAGTAAATTAGATAAATAAACGTATTTACAATAGATATAACCTGCAATTACGAAGTTTTAGTTAAAGTTCTTAATATAATAGGTCTTTGAAATATAGGAGTGGAATTTGCAACCGTTGCAATTATTTTGTCCAACCCCTGTATGTCGTGTGAGAGTAGCATGAGTTTCCTTTGCCTTGATGTATTTTGCTCAGTTTCAAAACATAACTTGTATATTCCTACTGTCGTTAAAGATGTTCGACGATGCCCAAAGAATATAGTGTTCAAACGAGCGCCATTTGACCAGCTCATACCTTTATAGCTCGGAGCCACATACATGCCATCAAATCATCCTTATCCACTTTTCATTCCTTTGATAAGGAGCAAGTTCCACTCGCTTTCCCGATCATTATAATCTTAACCTCTTCAAATTGACGTTCAACCGATAACTTTTTTTTATACCAATTCAGCTCGAACAAGGCGATAATGCCACTAAGGCGTAAGGGGTTACTCAGGGTGAAAAAGAATGAAAAGACTTTACAAGGAACCGGAAACCAGGAAAAAAAACGGGGAAGGGTATGAACCAGGCAAGAGGCGAAACTGTATAATCCTATTGAGGAAAAAATAAATAGCAAATAAAATTTCAGAGATTAGGTTTGGTTTGGTTTGGTTTGGTTTGGTTTGGTTTATTTTGTTTTACGGCATATCAACCTCAATGGGTTATTTAATGCCGACAACATTTTTAGGATAGATTCGTATGAACAGAATATGTACTCTTTGGTTTAGATTGGTTTGGTTTATTTTGTTTTATAGCATATCAACCTCAAGGGGTTATTTAATGCTGACAAAATTTTTTATTGCTGGTCATATATTGTTTTGTCAAAAATCTGTTTCTGGTAATATATTTCCTTCAAAATTGTATTGCTCGTAATATTTTTTTTCAAAAAACTATTGCTTGTAATAGTTAACTAGTTCCCATAGCTGGGACCCTAACAGGTGCTACCACCCCCGGGTCAGGGTGGACCTGGGAACACAAGCAATTAAGAGGTGGTTCCACGCTTCTCAAAACCTCCTGATCGGAGGCCTTGCTGCTAGACGTAGTTTAACGTCTTACCCAGGACGCAGATGTAGTTTAACATCTTACCCAGGACGCTTCAGAGATTAGGTGGAGACGTTAAAAGTATAGAGTTGAAGTAGTAGTTAGAAAGAACTGGAAACAATATTTAACTGGAAACAAAGGATAAACATCCACTTTTGTTCAAAAGTCCGGGTGGTGCGTGAAGCGGACGATAGGTAAATCTATCGACTCTTACTGAGGTAAAAGGAAAATAAAGTAAATATCTATCCTATATATCCTCATAATATGCAGCCTTCCCCCTCCCTAACAACAACCCCGTTCGTTAGCCCTCTAGAGTGGCTTTTGGGACTTGAAAAAGTAGGTATACACTAAGTAGTATACCAGTATTACTAGTATTATAAATTTTGAGTAGATACGTTTACTTTACTGTATACCTACTTTTGCAACCCTTGAAAATATTTTTTTTTTACTTGGCCAATTATCACTGATAACCGGGCGAGATCATGAAAAATATTTTATCTTACAAGAAGAGCATCGACATTAGCGATAAAAAACGAGATTCACGTTAACGAATGCGTGATTTCTATTTCTACAGGGTGCGATGGGTAAATTGTCGCCATTTATATATTTTTTTAATTTTGCGCATGCGTGTTATTTATTCTGGATTTTGTCGATTGCAAAGTATAATAAAATCTCACCGTCTGTGACAAAAAAAAGATTACCATGAATGACGCAATTTACTCCACCAGAAATTTGGAAACGGCATACTATACGGCTTGACAATCGCGCTGGAAGCTCCAATACGAACATTTCCTAGTGTTTTGGTGTCAATCTGAGCAGAGTGCAGAGGATTCGGAAAGAGTTGGATGAGTCTAATGGTGATTACAAAGGTTCGGCAGATCAGAAAACTCACTCTGATTTTTCCTTATAAGAAAAGATCCCCCGAAATTGTTGGTGAGGGCATCATCCCTTGAGGAAGTAGTGTTACCCTGGGTCCAGAGAGTCGCTGTAGCACCATGTCACATACGCAGGATAAACCCAATCATAACTGTCTGTCTATATTTCTAAGATGAAGAATTGTAATTATTTAAATTATTAACATTGTTCGAAATTTTGTCCTCATCGAAGCGTCGTGATCATGACAATAAAGATGAGGACAACAGTCCGAACAATGGAAATAAATATATCTGGCCAGCTAACTCCCCATACTGCAACCCCTTTGATTATTATGTGTGGGGCGCAGTTGAGTAAGAGACCAATAAATCTCCTTGTAAAACCAAAGATGAACTGAAAGCAAGGATTATGGCAGCATTCACCAACTTAAACAAGAAAACCGTCCAGAAGAGTTGCAGGAGATTTCGAAGTCGTCTGGAGGCTGCGGTTGAAGCCAATGGCGATTTTATTGAATAAATGTACTCTTACGTATATCAAGAGATTTTTGTGTAAGTTTGGTAAATATATCTGTTAAAATGAAACGACATTTTAACTACAAATTTATCCGTCGCACCCCGGATATCTGTTAAGATGAGATGTCAGTAGTATTTTCATTTTGGCGTCATTCAGACGACAATTTATCCATCGCACCCCGTATAACCTGCATCGTTATTTGATTCCGACTAATCCTAACTAATCCTATTTATTTTGATAGTTTGACTTTATTTCAAAGTTCTTTTATTTTACTTGTTTTTATTTTAGTGCCGCACACGACACAGTCTTAACGCACATTTTTATTCCCAAAACGTCTTCCAGTTATATCACATCGAAACACGGGTTCCCGTACGATCACTTCGGTTAAGCAACGTCGAGCCTGGTTAGTACCTAGATCGGTGACCTTGTGGGAATGCCCGAGGCTGTTAGCTTGGTATATGCGGGGGGGTGTAATGGACAATGGCTCAGAATTTTTAATCCGAGTGCCGACTTCCAATTGCAGTTGGCTTCCTTATATTCACTTACACGTAAAATACCCTTGGTAAAGGTATAAATCCACATCTCCCCCCAATATGGGTTAATTAGTAAGACTTGTATCAATAAATCATTATAATCTAAAAAGAAAAAAAATATAAATTTTTTTCCTGACTTGAAATAATCTGTAACGTTTTGATAACTCGTAGAAAACGAATGAATGAGTGAATTCAATTTTGAATCCATAAACGTTTGTGTATAGGGCTAGCAACTCAACCCCAGAAACCACAATAGTAATATCTAACGTGGTGTGGCTGTGCACCTAGCGTGGTGAGGCTGTGTCTCTATACCCCACAGATAATCTACAAGAATAATATACAATGTCTTCATAATAATTCATACTACTTCCTCGATGGTGTGAATGCATCTGTTAGGGTCCCAACTATGGGAAAATAGTGAGTCCCACAAATAAAAATATTATGAAAGTATAGAAACACATTTTTATAGTAAAAATACCAGCAATACATTTTATATTTAAACAATTACCAACGATATATATTTATAGAAGAATTACTAATAGTAAATTTAACAGCAAAATGACCTACAATACATTTCCTCTGTAGTTGAAGCCATTGTGTTAACATATTTCGATTCCGGCATTAAATAATCCATAGAGATGTTGATATGCCGCGAAACAAACTCAAAGCACCAAAAACTTCCTCGAGATGGGCTCTTCAGCGTCGAAGGATGGTTAGCGAGTTAATGTAATTGACCATATTTACTGTGTTAAACCCTTATTGAGTGCTTCATATTTGCAGCCTTGTGCTCAGCTAAGTTTAGTAAATAATTCTTGTTTTGATTAATCGCCTTATACAGGGTGACCATAAGGTTCGTGTGCACTTTAAAAAATTTATAACTTTATTTGTATTTGCGATAGAAATAATCTGTAAAAAATGTTTAATGTACCTAGTTTTAAGTATAGCTAAAATGACTAATGAGATTTCAGGCATTACTGTAAATTAGTTGGCAAATGTTTTCCGTAAACTGCAAAATCGTATTACCCTTTGTATTGTTAATGATGGAGGACATGTGGAAATGTAAATAAAATTTCAATAAAACCTTAAAAAACATAGAGTTACTTCTTTCTAATCCTTTTTACAAATTATTTCTATCGTAAATAAAAATAAAGTTATAAATTTTTTAAAGTGCACACTGTATTTACTTAATATTTTTCGAAGAATTTCGAAATAAAATCTATTTTCGCGTTAAAAAAAGGAACAAACATTTTATTTGTATCTGTTAATATTATTTTATTCTTAATCGCTATGAATAATCCATGTAGACATTTCTTTTTTAATATAAAGACGGTTTTATATTGGTTAAGTAATGTCTCCAACCAAACAATAAATATTGACCGCTCAAGTAAGACTCTAGCAACCGAAATGGAGGCTGGGTCTGGGACAGCGTGATAAGCATGACTCATAGCTACCTTATCTCCGCCATTATAATCTGGCTGGCTGGTTGGTTGGTTGCTTTCGTGTTCCTTTCTCACCCCTCCGTTGCTTGACACCCCGCAATATCGACACACTCACACAAACAAACATGTCGCTCACGTATAATCCATGAAAGCATGTTTACAAAGGTAGACAGCCAGTCATGCGCACATAGGCACAAATGCATTTTAGGCGCATGCGTAAACGCATGCACCACCATCGGTCACTACTACTATTACGACTGCTTATTATTACTTTCGACAGGTTTTCTTTTTCTCCTTTCTTTTGTCAAACCATCGCCATGATCGTTATTATGTGGAATTCTCTTGTCATTTTAGCTGCTCCCGAATAAATATTACACTCTTTTTACAATTTTATCTTTAGATTTCTTTCTTTCTTGGAATTGTTTATTTCTCTTCTGTTTTCTACAATTTTCTTTTAAATTCATTATTTTTATAAAAATTATCAGTATTATTTTTTCTTTCTATGACTGAATTTTATTCTTTTCTTTTTTTCTTCAATTTTCCTTCTTTTTGTGATCTTTCATTTATTCTTTCTTTCTATGGTTAAGGTTTTATTTAATCTTTCTTAATGTAGCGCTATTCTTTCTTTTCTGCATTCTTAATATGTCTCTATTTTTCTTGCCTTCTTTCTTTCTTTCTTTCTTAATGTCTATACTTTCTTTCTTTTTCTTATATCTTTATTCTTCCTTTCTTTCTTTCATTCTTAATATGTCTGTGTTCTTTCTTTCTTCCTTTCTTTCTTCCTTTCTTTCTTAATATATCTCTATTCTTTTTTCTTTTATTGTTAATATGTCTATTTTCCTTTCTTTCTTTCTTTCTTTCTTTCTTTCTTAATATGTCTTTATTCTTTATTTCTTTCATTCTTAATGTTTATTCTTTCTTTATTTCTTGCTTTTTTCTTAATATAACTTTAGTCTTTCTATATATCAATTTTAATATATCTATTCTTTCTTTCTTTCTTTCTTAATGTTTTCTTTCTTTCTTTCTTTTTTCTTAATGTTTTCTTTCTTTCTTTCCTTCTTTCTTAATGTTTTCTTTCTTTCTTACTTTCTTTCTTTCTTAATGTTTTCTTTCTTTTTCTTTCTTTCTTTCTTTCTTTCTTTCTTTCTTTCTTTCTTTCTTTCTTTCTTTCTTTTCCTCTCTCAGGTGTGCTACTCCCTCGCTTATTCTTTCCTTATTATACTCATTTTCAGTCTCTATCTTTCCTCCATTCCATCTTTTCTTCCATTCCCCCCTTCATTCCTTCAAGTTTTTACGTCGTCCCGTACTTTATTGTGTATAATTAAATACGAGAAATTATGAATGAAAATTAAAAGCGAAAAAGGTGGGGGTCGTATTATACACAGGTACATGTTTTCATCAATTTTTACTCAGCTTAAAATTCGTCTCATTTGAAACAGTAATTTTGCAAATATCCCCATCCCAATAGATAATAAAACATAAAGTAGGTTAGTGTTGATAGCAATTGTTTACAAAAGGTATTTGATATGTCGGCCATATTTGTTCGTCTTTGTGAATCAGCGTAATTTAACATCTTTTGTCTCAAAGTCATCAAATTCAACGAAAGTGATTCAAAATATAAATAAAAGATAAACAAGATCTCCCATCTTTTGATAAAATAAATGTTGAAACAAGGCAACTTTCAAAAATATATTTTTGAAACGGAAATTAGAAGAAACCCATAATGGCTAAACATCCGGTTTATTTTTAATCTTTAATATTGAGAGAAATTAAATATTTTAATGAAATATATATACAACATTGAGATTATAATTGATAATATGGTAAAACTTTAAAAAATGACATACGGATGGCTGTACTAAAAGATTGGTTTATGTTCGAGGATGTAATTTATATCCTTTTTTTATCTCCAGAAACACTGGGTCGTATTATACACAAGAAAATGCGACCTATCATTTATTTTCGAGATTCTGTCCTTTCATTTGTTCTCTATTCATTTTCACTGTTTACGTTCTTTTTCATTCTTAGATTCAACATGCTTCTTTTTATCTTCATCCTTTTCGGCTTTCTCCCTATTTTAGAATTCACTGCAGATTTTTTTTCTTTTCTTTTGGCTACTCTGCTTTATTTTTTTCTGCATCCTTTCCTTGGTCACTTCTAGTTTCCATTTGTCAGTCTTTGCTTCTTTCTTCACTTTTTTCGTTGTCTGTTTTCTTTCTTTTCTTTGAGTCCACTTTTTCCTTTGTCTTTTTCTCTTCTGTATTTACTTCGCCATTTTTCATTTTCTGTCTTTGTTCTCTCTTCTTACTGCTTTCCATGTTTTCTTTTTCTTTATTCTTTCATTGGTATTTTCCTTCCGTCTTTTCCTTTCATTTTCCCCTTTCTTCTTCTTCTTCTTCTTCTTCTTCTTCTTCTTCTTCTTCTTCTTCTTCTTCTTCTTCTTCTTCTTCACCCTTTGTTCTCTCCATTCATTGGCCACTCCCTTGGTCTCCTTCTTCCTCTGTGTTATCTCTCTTCTACTTTTTCTTTGTCTCCTTTTTCCTTAATTGCTTCTCTCTTCCTCCCCTCTTTCTAACCCTCGACATTTTCTTCACTCCGATGACCATCTGCTTCCCAATTAGTGTTTCGTCTCTCGTACGATTCTCGAAACGTTCCTGCAATCGTTTCCCTTGCAATTAAATTCCATAAACTGTCAATTGTTTTCAAGCTTTTTACGAGCATTTCATAACAAACTGTAAACACTGATCATGTCATATAAACATTAGATAAAAGAATACGCGCTTCATATGAATCTGCTTCACTCTTGTCATTGTAGAATATGAAGTAAGGGAGTAAAGCCACTGAGACACAAGGGGTTAATGGATGTGAAAGAATTAAAAAACAAAAAAACATTACTAAGGAGCGAGTATGAAAGAAGTTTTGTTTGTTTGTTTGTTTGTTTTGTTTTACGGCACATCAAAACCTCAATGGGTCATTTAATGCCGGCAACTTTTTTTCCCCTGGTAATATTTTTATTTTGTCAAAAATCTATTTTTGTTAATATTTTTTTCTCAAAAATATATAGCTGGTAATATTATATTTTCAAAAATGTATAGCTGGTAATATTTTTTTTTTCAAAAACGTACAGCTGGCAACATTATTTTTCAAAAACGTATTATCAGAGGCCTTGCTGCTGGACGCTGTCCATCGTCCCACCCAGGACGCGGATGTAGTTTATCGTCTTACCCAGGACGCGGATGTAGTTTATCGTCTTACCCAGGACGCAGATGTAGTTTATCGTCTTACCCAGGACGCGGATGTAGTTTATTGTCATACCCAGGACGCGGATGTAGTTTATCGTCATACCCAGGACGCGAGAATAAAAGAAGAGTAATCAGGAGAACAGTACATAGCGATTGGTACTGCACTTAAATTTTTGAAGATTAAAGTTGGCTGGAAAGAATGGAGCCGGAAGAGAGTTCCACAACCGAAAAGTGCGAGAAAAGAAACTGCTAGAATAAAACTTACGGTTATATTTAACCAATTCAACTGTAAATTGATGTGATCTCGAAACCAGTCTAGTACCGCACTTAAATTCATGAAGTCTCAGTAGCATAGCAAAGGGCTAATCCGAACCAGTACCACGAGAGTATTTGTAGAAAAGGCAACTTTACTGTGATGGGAATGCTCATCTTCATGGGTTAATTGCTAATACAAAATATTAATGTAAGTTATGAATATGTACGCACGAGTGCTGTAAAAAGGAAAGTAAATTACGTGTTTTAAAATAGTGTTTTAATTGTAGTTTTTAACAATTACAATTTAGATATTTTAAAACCTTGCTGTTATATTTTAGAACTTTATCGTTATACTCATAATTGACTTTATTTGGTTTTTAGACGTAATTTTTTTATATAAAGGGCTTTTCGTGGTGGAGTATAGTTGTATTGTCAATTAATATTTCTCTAACACCATATGAATAATTACAGCGTTATTCTTTCAGCAGTTTCGTACTAACATTAAGAAATTAATCCGTGAATTTGAGAAGATTAAAATAAAAATAAGTAAACACAATATGTCTATATCGATGATTCTCAACGCGCGGCGTTTGCCCCACCGGTGGGGCATGGTAATATTTTGCTGGGACATACGTAAGATGTGCATCATTTGTCTTACTATACCAACGTGAGCTCAAATTTCATTTTGCATTATTATTGTATGGTTAAAATGATCAAAGTAAATTACAGACTAAGCTTTCATATACGGACAAGACAGTGATGATAGTCTCTGCTTGTTTACATGGATGATTTCCAAGCAACGTATATTGCTTAATATGTTGTACAGTAATTGACATCTTTAATAATGGCTTATGTAAGCCGAAAGCTTAGATTGGATTAAAAAAATATGGATCAATCTTGTGATTTTCCTTCTTCGTTTAATGATAATGTTATTAAGCTTATCAGACGTTATGAAAAGAATTTACATAAAATAAATAGACAACACTTGTCTATATTATTTAATGAAACATTAAGGAAACCAACAGCCCGACAACAGCACATGAGATTTGATTATAGTGGTGATGGCTTCGTGCAAGAACATCCAAAGGCCGAATACAGAGACCTGGTGCACTACGTGCCACAAGGTCCCCAAACGACCCTCCGCAGGTTTTGAATTCAGAGTTGTCCTTCTCCTAGACCAGTTGCCATCCAAGACCATAGAACCCGGTCTGTCCTGCTATTTACCCATAGCTGGAGGGAGAAGAAGAGGATCTATACCTTTTCCAAGGATATTAGCACGTAAGTGAATGTAATGGATTCGACTGGAATTCGAACTCGGCTCTCCGCTATCCATTACTCCACTGTGCCTCTCCCTCCCCTCTCTCTCTCTCTCTCTCTCTAATTACATGAATCATTCATACAAAAAACAAATATAGAGGTTAATGATTTAAATGGCCAGAATACATCTTCGCAAACAATTTCAATAAGGTACACTAACCCCGAACCTGTATGTAATATGCTCTTGTGTGTATATAAAGAGAATTATGATATTATAATACTTGTGCTCCTGCCTAATGAGTCTTGGATTAAACTTGAGTAGTCAGTTGATATCAGACACGGAAAGAAAACTCCACTAGTAGTTAGTGGGGGAAAGCGGGAAGAAAGGACTAACAACAACTGAGAGAAAACAGAATGCATGGTTGTTAGCAAAACGGTGATCCCAAAATGCGAATTGCAAATTGGGGATACCAAAATCGAACAGAAATTTAAATATCTGGGAAGTGAAGACGGAAAGTGTGACATTGAAAGCCGAACGTGTATTGGGATAGCAAAAGAAGAATTCCAAATGTTACGTCCTAAGAAATGGAAAAAAAAACTTTGCTAGAAACAAGCAAAAAATGTACTAAACTGTTACGTGACTTTTATCCTCCTCTATAGCAGTGAGTGCAGGACGATCTCCTCAAAGATAAAGAAGAGACTTGACGAAACAGTGATTCTACAGAAGAATACCATAGAACGATCATGTGAACAACGAGTAAGTTTTAGAGAAAATGGAAGCAAAAAGGAAACTTATACTTACCATCAGGGTTGATGCTTCTAGGGCACATAATGAGGAAAGAGGACTTGGAAAATCTGATACTCACAGGACAGATTGAAAGTAAGAAGGACAGAGGAAAACAATGCATAATCTACTTAGTGAGCTTGAGTAAATGGATGACGGAACAGGGTTGAGGAGGAATATCAGAAAGATAAAATTTATTAAGATCAACAAGGAAACGGAAGTTGTGGAGAGCGATGATCGCCTACGTCCTGAGGGGACCCGGCATATAAAGAATTAAGTTTAACCTTTTTTTTTAAAAAAAAAAGATTTCATTGCTGCTCTGCTTGTTGACTTTGCTCAAATTCTTTTATCGAAATAGTGATTATACATATTTCAGAAACTTTAATATGAATAATAATAATAATAATAATAATAATAATAATGATAATAATAATAATAATAATAATAATAATTGGGAGGACGAGGCGTTGCATGGCAAATGTCTAAAAAGAACTGAAGAAGCAGATGTGGACCAACAGAAAACACATCAGTGGCTGAGGAGCACCGGGTTGAAAGCTGAGACAAGAAGGTCTAATTATTGCAGCTCAAGACCAAAGATTCGCAGCAAAACCCTATCATTGTCACGTAATCAAGAATGGAACTAATATGAAATGCAGGATCTGCGGAAAATATGAAGAAACTGTCGACCATATTATCTCGGGATGTCCGGAACTAGGAAAAAATAAATACACCCACAGATATAACAAGGTAGCGACATATGTTCACTGTAAGAATCACAAAATCGAGACCATTGAGAGATGATATGACCACTAATTAGACACTGTTACCTAAAATAACGATGTAACTATCCTCAAGGACATACTAATACAAACTGACAGCAAAATAAAAGCCATTAGACCTGATATTATCATAAATGACAAGAAATTCAGGAAGTGTATGCTTATTCACATAGCAGTACCATCTGAGAATTATGCAGTAGCATAAAATTTATCGAAACATTGTCCAAATACAAGGACCTGAAGATCGCGATTAACAGGATGTGGAGAATGAAGACTGAGACTCTACCAATAGTAATCGCAGCTCTGGGTCACGTGAGAAAAGGAATGGACAATTTTACTGACAGTGTCCCAGATAGCATCAGCATACAAGTTACCGAGAAGATCGCCCTACTAGGAACATCCTATATACTAAGAAAAGTGCTATCAATGAAATTATAATTGTCCTATAGGGCCTGAGGACAATAGTTTCCCCGAACCGCTACTATACCGTGTTTCTTCCTCTTTTTGTTATTAGTAATAAAATTTATTCTATTTTAAATTTAATTACTTCACATCGCAACTTAGACCGTTAGTATATAGCAATGATTAAACATCAAGGTTTTGATTAAAGAATATCTCCAGCTTTTATATAGAATGGTGATATGGTTAATATTAGGTTAATATTTGTTCAGATGCTGTAAACAGTCTCCGCATTTATATCAAACTTAACTCTATAATACAGGTTTCGTTTAGAATGGTTTATTTTGTTTTACGGCATATCAACCTCAATGGGTTATTTAATACCGACAACATTTTTAGGATAGATTCGTATGAACAGAATATGAATTCTTTGGTTTAGATTGGTTTGGTTTATTTTGTTTTACGGCATATCAACCTCAATGTCTTATTTTACATTTTAGGATAAATTTATGAATAGTATATGTATTCTTTGGTTTAGATTCAATGTTTTTATTTTGTTTAATTTCAATGGTTATGACAACATTTTTTTCGCTTTATGGGAATTTTGGTTTAGATTGGTTTTGGTTTATTTTGTTTTTACCATATCGACTTCAATGGATTATTTTTCAAAAAATTTTGTTTTTTCAAAAATCTGTTTTCTGGTAATATTTTTCCTTCAAAATTGTATTGCTCGTAATAATGTTTTCAAAAAAGTATTACTGATAAAAGTTAACTATTTGCCCATAGCTGAGACCTTAACAGGTGCTACCATCCCGGTTCAGGGTGGACCTGGGAACACCAGCAATTAAGAGGTGGTTCCACGCTCCTCAAAACCTCCTGATCAGAGGCCTTGCTGCTGGATGTTGTTTATTGTCTTATCCAGGTCGCGCATGTAGTTTAACGTCTTACCCAGGACGACTATAATACAGGAATATAATGAAGTACGCTGATATTTCATCGAATACGACTCTCCTATACTGGTAGCCACCAATATTACCCCACCGTACCTCCTTCAAAAAATAACTTTCCCTTAAAGAAACTTTCCCTGTCTTCTACGAGTGGACCAGTCTGCTTAAGTAGCTTCTGCTAAAGTCCCACTCCCTAGTCACGTTATGCAAATCCTTGCCTTAAAGGGTGAGGCTGGTAATGTTGATACAGCTTTCAACCTAAAACCTTTAGCGCTGCCCTGTGACGGGAGCTGTGGCAATCGCGGAAAAAAAAATCCTCGAAATAGTTCGCGATGTCAAGACATGACAGGAATTGGTATGGAAAATAAGAGTTGTAAGTTTGATGCTGTGAGTCAATTATATTCTTGGGTCTGTTATGTCCTAGAAACACGGAAATGCCAGTGAACATTGGCGAAATGAATCGTAGAAGATCTTCCAGAACTTGCTGTTGGCATTGGATCTCGAAGGGTTTAGGGAAGAGGCCACCCTGAAGCCGTGCAGTTGAACGAGCATTGGAGGATCAATTTTGATAAGGGAGGCGCGTTTTCATCTGTGATTAGCTCGAATAATTCCCTGCCCACATCCGTGATTGGGTCTGGTTTGGAGGAGAGAACGAAATTGAAGTGGAATAGAGATTGAGAAGTCAGGTTGGGGATTTGGTGTGGAGTTGAATACGATGGGGGCGAAGGAGACGAAAAATAGGAGAAGAAAGACAAACGGATAGGTGTAAGAGTGGTAAAAGCGGATGTGAAGGGAAAAGGAGGAGTGGAGTAGAAGAAAGAGATGAAAACAATGAGAAGGTGATAAAGAAGGAGGAGGGGGTGTAGCAATAAGAGTGGAAGAAGAAGAAAAATAAAATAGAGGGAGATTCTCTGTGTGTGTGTGAATGAGAGAGAGAGAGAGAGAGAGAGAGAGAGAGAGAGAGAGAGAGAGCAGGTGTAAAGAGTCCAGATGAAAAACAATGAGAAAAATGAGTAATAAAAGAAAGAAAGAATAAGAGAGGAAGTACGCGTGAAGGAGTCAAATGAAAAGCAAAGAAAGAAAGAAAGAAAGAAAGAAAGAAGAGAAAGTGAGAAAGTACACATAAAGAAACTAAAGGAAAAGTAAAGAGAAGAAAGAATGAAAGTAAGAAAAAGAGAGAAAGTGAGAAAATACGCGTGAAGAAGCTACATGGAAAACCGAGGAGGGGAGGTCTGAAGGAATGAAAGAAAAAAAGAAATAAAGAAAAAAGAGAAACAGAGAGATTACGCGTGAAGAAGCCAAAAGAAAAGCAAAGGGAAGAAAGAAAGAAAGCAAGCAAGAAAGAAAGAACTGAAGAAAGAAAAAGACAGAAAGTGCGTGTAAAGAAACCAAAAGAAAAGCAAAAAGAAGAAAGAAAGAAAGCAAGAAAGCAAGAAAGAAAGAACGAAAGAAAGAATGGAAGAAAAATAGTAAAAAAAAGAAAGTGAGAAAGTACGCTTAAAGAAGCCAAAGAAAAAGCAAAGAGAAGAAAGAAAGAAAGAAAGAAAGAAATAAAAAAGAAAGAATGAAAGAAAGAAAAAGAGCACAAGTGAAAGATAGAATGGAAGAAAGAAAAAGAGAGAGAGAGTGAGAAAGTGCGCGTAAGAAAGGCAATAGAAAAACAAAGCAGAGAAAGAATGAATGAATGAAAGAAAGAAAGAAAGAAAAAAGAAAGAAAGAAAGAAAAAAGAAAGAAGGAGAAAGTGAGAAGGTTCGCGTGAAGAAACCAAAAAAAGACAAAAAGAAGAAAAAAAAAGGATGAAAGTACGTGTGAAGAAACCCAAGGAAAAGCAAAGAGGTGGGGGGTGGGGTGAGATGGAAAAAAACGAAAGAAAGAAAGAAGAAAGCAAAAGGGAGAAAGTGGGAATGTACGCGTGAAAATAACAAAAGAAAATCAAAGAGAAGAATTTGATTCTGAACTCTCTGCTACTTCGATCTCTACAACGCAATCATCTTAGGTCACGTGGTCGTTGATTCATCTTGTCCAAGATGAAAGTTTGTCAATATATAAAAGAAGGAAAAAAGGCTCTCTGGCATAAAAAAAATAGCGAGTAAGATTTAGAGAAATACCAAATAATAATAATAATAATAATAATGATAATAATAATAATAATAATAATAATAATAATAAAAGTAGCAGAGAGTTCTTTGATAATAATAAAAAATAAAGCAAACAATACAACTGAAGGCTCAAAGAATAAGACTTTACGAGAAAAGAAAGATTCTATAGACAGAACAAGATCTTTCAAACCGATGCAAAGAAATTTTAGGGAAATAGGTAAACAAAGAATTGAAGTGAAGTCCCCTAAAATGGAAGAAGTTAAAGTTCTGGGGGAAAAATATGGCTTGCCCTAAAGAACACAACGAAGAGGCAGATTGGATTGCGCAAGAAGAACGAATGAAAATAAACCAGAACAGACATGGGCGGGAATCACAGAAGAAGATGTTAAATGTGCACTGAAAAAAGCACACAACTGGAAATCTCCAGGAATAGATAAAATTCTAACTTCTGGCTATATTATTTAAATACAGCACACAAAAAAACTCGCCAAAGAAAAGAAATGGTTACCGATCCAACTAAAATTCCATGGATGACCAAAGGAGTTACCTTTCTTCTACCCAAAATAGTGACACAAATATTCCGAAAAACTATAGACCAAATGTCTTCCAACAACATACAAACTGTTAACATCTATTTTAACAAAACAGACATATTTCTTCTTGGAAAGAAATGACATACTACCACTTGAAAAAAAAAAGGTGGGGCTGCTACGGATGTAAAGACCAATTACTTATTAATAGGATGATCCTGGAAAACTGCTTCCGTGGAAAAAAAAAAAATCTTAGTATTGCCTGGATAGATTATCGTAAAGCATTCGATAGTGTACCACATTCCTGGATCTTAAAGTCTTTAAGTATGTACAAAGGTATCACCCGTTATCATCAATTTCATCAAACAAAATATGGAAAAACTACACTTTACCTCAATCATAAAATGGAACCTATAAGTCTGGCGAAATAAACATCAATAGAGGAATATTTCAAAAGGTGACTCTTTGTCTCCTTTATTATTTTGCATATCACTTATAGCATTAACCAGCCAACTTTAACAAGACAGAATGCGGTTACAAAAAGCTCAAAAAAAATAAACCATCTATTTTACATGGATGACTTAAAATTGTATGCTAGGAATGACAATGAGCTGGAAGGTCTTCTGCAAACTGTAAAATGCTTCAGTGAAGACATTGGAATGAAATTCAATTTGGATAAATGTGCTAAAGCTACAGTTTTACGAGGATCCTTTACAACAAACTTCCTCTATTAGTTTAGACCCTGCTGTAACAATAAAAGATTTAGAACAAGGAGAAGCTTATAAGTACCTAGGGTGTAAATGAGAGTGAAGGAATTCACCATAAGAAAATGAAAGAAAATAGTGCGTAAAGAGTACAATACGACTGGTATTAAAAACTGAATTGAATTCTCAGAACAGAATTATGGCCATTAATAACCTTGCCATCCCAGTGGTCCAAATATAGTTTCAACATCTTGAACTGGACTCTAAATGACATCAGACAAATGGATTCTAAAACAAGAAAGCTTCTTTCTATATAAGATGCATCATCCAAAGGCTGATGTAGACCGTCTATACATACCCCGTAAAGAAGGTGGAAGAGGTCTTATTCAGCTAGAATTGTTACACAAGACAACAACTATTGGCTTACTAACTTACATGGAAACAACAAATGACTGGATGATAAAATTAGTGAAACAACATGAAAACAGAAAGAAAAAAATATTCAATAATAAAAGAAGGCAGTAAATACAAACAACATTTACATTTAGTAGATTCTGTAGTAAATCAAAACAGAAGCCAAGAACCAACTATTGCAGCAAAAGATATGAAAAAGAAAGCCAAGGATAAAGCCCTGAACAGATGAAACAACGCTGGCAAGACAAACCTCTGCATGGCCAATATCCAGAACGTGCAAATAAACCCAATGTTGATAAAGTTAATACTCATCGATGGTTACGAGCATCTGGATTAAAGTCTGAAACTGAAGGCTTTAAGAGTCTTTTCACTAGGGAATTTTCAGGCAAATATCATACATAATAATGTGGATCCAAAATGCAGGTTCTGTGACAAATACTAAGAAACAATAGACCATCTAATCTCAGGATGTTCTATACTTGCCCCAAATGAATATAAAATCGTCACGATAGAGTGGGCAATACTTACACTGGACAATGTGCAAACACTTTGGAAAAATGTGTAAGCAAACACTGGTATGAACATCGGCCAGCGCCGGTTACAGAAATAGAAGATGTCACCATTCTATGGGATTATACCATCCCACAGACAGAAAAATTGAAGCAAATAGGCCGGACATTATTGTCAAAAACCAGAAAGAAAAACTTGCCTACTAATTGATATGGCTTGTCCAGCGGATTGTAACAACATAGCAACCAAGGAATTTGAAAAACTATCAAAATACAAAGACCTGGAAATTGAAATAGAAAAATGTGAAATTTGAAACAAGAATAATAAGTGGTAATAGGTGCACTTGGAATTATAAAAAATGGAACAAAACAACACATTGAAAGAATCCCCTGGAAACCCCAGCTTAAGAGACATACAGAAAATTGTCTAAGGAGAACTTTGTCTATGTAATAAACAAACTTCATCGGAGATAAAAAAAAAAAAAAACATGAAATGTATTATAACAACACACCATGACCTGCCTTAGGTCTTTCCGCAGACTTGGTAGGTAGTGTGTCCATAGCAGAAATCGAATGATGATGATAATAATAATAATAATAATAATAATAAATTCAATCATAAAAGAAGATTGTAAATACAAACGAGATTTACGTTTGGTAGATTCTATAGAAAACCAAAACAGAACCCAAGAACCACATGTTTCAGCAGAAAATGTGAAAAAATAAAGCAAGGATAAAGCTCTTGAAAGATGAAACAACGCTGGCAAGACAAATCTCTATATGGCCAATATCCAGAACGAGGCTAATAAAGCCGATGTTGATAAAGTTAACATTCATCGATGGTTACAAACATCTGGATTAAAGGCTGAAACGGAAACCTTTATTCTTGCAGTGCAGGTCTAGAATTTTTCACTAGGAACTTTCAGGAAAATATTATAAATAATAGTGTGGATCCAAAATGCAAGACATTCTAATCTCAAGATGTTTTGTATTTGCACCAAATTAACTTAAAAATCGTTACGATAATGTCGAGCAATATTTACACTGGACAATGTGCAGACACATTGGCGCACACTTTGGTTCCCAAACACCGATATGAACATCGTCCAGCACCGGTTACAAAAATAGGAAACATCACAATTCTATAGGATTATACCATCTCTACAGACAGGAAGATTGAAACAAATAGGTCGGACATTATTGCCAAAAACCGAATAGAAATAGCTTGCTTACTAATTGACATAACTTGGCCATCAGGCTGTAATATAGCAACCAAATTTGAAAAGATATTGAAGTATAAAGACCTGAAAATCGAAATAGAAAAAAAAATTATGAAAACTGAAAATAAGAAGCGTACCAGTCATAGTAGGTACGCTTGGAATGATAAAAAAGGGAACAAAACAAGACATTAAAAAAATCTCGGGAAATATGAGCTTAAGAGAAATACAAAAAATATCTTGATATTTACAGCTCACGCACTAAGAAGTTTGTCCACTTAACGCTAGTAATGTTATGGGAGTTAGAAAAACAAATAATGAACACTAGCTATAACACCACACCACATCACACCACTACTAGCCTTCAGTATCCCCACAGATGTGGGAGGGAGGGTGACCATAGTAGAAATCGAAATATAATGAGGATGGTAATGATGATAATAATCTACATTGGAAAATTTGTAAAAGGAAAGGTGTAAGAAAGGAATCTATATGAAACTGGCAGGTGCGCCACTAGGACCTGTAACAATTTATGAGACTTTACAATAAACACAGAACAATCAAAACTCATTGTTATATCATAGACACAAAAACAGAATGTGATTACCTATTGAAATGGTAGTTCCTGTAGAGTGTAATATATCTTTGAAGATCTTCAAAAAACTATCAGAATACATAGATCTTGAAATAGAAATCTATAAACTGTGGCACATGGAGGCACATATACAACAGAAAATGCAAGAAATTATTATTATTATTATTATTATTATTATTATTAGTTTCATTCGTTTTTGACGCGTTCATTATCAATACAGCCATTTTTCATTACAAGTCAAGCAACGTTTGTACAAAAGACGTAATTCTTTGTAGATTTATATATAAAACTATATAAATTTAAATACAACCTGATGGCAGACATACTGTCGAAATTTGAACATTGTCAAACACTGTTTTTTTTCTTTTCTTTATCTTTTCTTAAATTGTACTCTTCTCTTAAGTGTTGAAAAATATTGGAAAAGTTACGTCAATCATTTTGTTTATAATTATTATTGTTATTATTATTATTATTATTTCTGTGTTATGTCTACTGATTTCTATCCTGTAGAGCCTGCTTCAAACTAAGATCCTTAAGCCCTATTGGAGAACTGTCATTTAATTGATAACACTTTTCTTAGTATATGGGATGTTCCTAGTAGGGCAATCTTCTAGGCAACCTGTATGTTGATGTTACCCAGTACAATGTTAGTAAAATTGCCCATTCCTTTTCTCACGAGGCCCAGTGCTCCGATTACTATTGGTACAGTCTCAGTCTTCATTCCTCACATCCTGTTTATCTCAATCTCCACAATTTCACAATAATTTTCATGGAGGTGATTCTGTAAAATGGTACTGCTATGTCAATAAGCATAGACTTTCTTAAATTCTTGTCTTTTATGATAATATCAGGTCTGCTGGCTTTTATTTTCCTGTCAGTTTGTATTTGCATATCCCAGAGGATAGTTACATCGTCATTTTGGGTAACTGTGTCTAGTTGGTGCTCATACCATCTCTCAGTGGTTTCGATTTTGTGCTTTTATTCTTATTATTATAAATAATAATAATAGTAGTAATAATCTCTTCTAATTATCCATGTACACTAAATTATACTGATGTTTAACTCGTCTAAATTCAACTTTAATATAAATGGAAGACGATAAATATGAACTGCATACTCTTTACTTCCATCCTCACTGGGGACCGACAAATTTTAATAAAGTTTGTTGGCATTGTGCAGTGAATGAAAAGTTAGTCACGCTAATCTTTAGCAAGTTCTGTAGCAAGTTCGATACTTGCTTAGTGCATTACAAATGTTGCTTAGTGCTAAAGTAGGACAAGTTTGGCCACTACCAGTAAGAATTTGTTATTTTCTAAAGAAACGATTTGCAAGGATTGTAGGATACGAGTGAAATCTCAACAGACAAAGAATGAAATAGGATATATACACCTACAGAAAGATGCATGTGAGGGGTGAATTACATTTTGTCCCCAGACGTGGGTCGTATCGTAGGGAGTGATAATTAGGGGAAGATTCCTGTCGCACAGAAGTAGCAGAATGAGATTAGGACTTTGATTCAGGAGAAAGGAGAGAGAAAATCAGGTTCTAATCAGATGAGGGTGTGGTTTGGCGGCAGGGGTGGGGGATTGATTCTGAAGACTAAAGCGTGACAGGTTAGTGTTGAAGATGTCAGATGAATGGACGTTCGTTTTTATGGATTTGATACCCTGACTAGGAGTCTAGAGTATGAACAGTTGCCAATTCAAAATATATTTTAAATAGATTTAAGAAAATGTACACACACACACACACGCACATACACACACACACACACACACACACATTTTCATATAGATTCTCTCTCTCTCTCTCGCATTCACTTTCACGGAAACACGCGTACATACACGTTTCCCTCGCTTATACACACAATCTAATAGATGTAGGGCACTTTGCCGTGGTATAATGGTTAGCAAGCTTGTTTAGCTAGATCAGTTCTGACTGAACAGTGAGTTCAATCCTCACTGGCTGCCCGATACTTTCGGGCTTGTTCCATATCTGAACTATACTTTGAAAATCACCATACCCATACACGTATACACAGTCATACTTTCACACACACACGCACAAACACGCACACACATTTCTACTTCACATACACACATGTACATACACTCTCAGTTGCCTTGTTTTCAAATGAGAATTTTAAAACGAACGTTCTCTCAATACAGGACTCGAGAATAACTCAATGTAGAGGGTTATTGAATGATGCATATGAAATGAATCTAAGAGGAAGAATTAAAAAGTAAAGATTATGAGGATAAGAGGGATATATAATGATTGACCCCAGACTTGAAGAGATTAAGATTATACTTTTCGAAGAAGAGTCTGTTGTACAAAATAACGGTTCTTGGGACGAAACTATCCGAAAATGTTGGATTCTTTTACACATTATTCAGTAATCATTTATATTTATTTATTTGGACCTTAGCTGGTGCTCCGAATTTGTGTTCTTGCGTTGCACGAAACTGGGATTAGGAAAGTTTATGTAAATTAACTTATTACAGCTAAATACACCGTTCATCCCTCATTAAGTGTTGCGCCTATGCCAGACTAAGTTAAGTTTAGTAAATAGTCCTTCTGTCCCATAATGGTTGTTACATTTATATAATTTTCTTTTGATTATTCGTCATCTTCATCCCCATGACTAGATAAGGTCACAGGGTCGCTGCGCAGCTAAGAACATGGCCAATTTCCCCCACAAAAGAAGGATTGATAGCTAGAGACGTAGCGTATCTTGGGAAAGTACTGCCGGGTGTAGGGGGTCATCTTTCTAGAGACCAAACCAAAGCTATATCCTCTATCTTGAAGAATCACTTTGGTCATTGATTCATTCGTTGCGGTGCATTGGACTTCATGTTACCAAGTCACAAAATGGCAGAAAACTGACAATTGTATCCGAATACCGACTAACCTCGCGCGGATATAATTTATTGAACTCCGAATCGGCATCGTACTTCAGACTCTTTCTATTCCATTTCCTGTTAAGATATTTTCCTTTCTCCGTGTAGCGTATCTTCTGGTTCGTTTGCAAACCAAAAAAGATCCACTAAACTGTATGTCGATGACGGCTTCAGAAAAAAAATTGATTACTTGATTGATTTTTATCCGGCCTATCAAACATTTGCAGGTTATTTAAAGCCAGTAAATATGTTTAAACCAATGTTTCTCAACAATTTTAAGCCACGAAATACCAAGGAGCAAATGATCACTAATGAAATAAAACCATTGATTTAAAAATTATTAATATTAATTGATAATTTAATATAAATTTGTAAAAATTTGGAATTAAACAAAGAATGTTGAATACAATTATATGAAAAAAGATTAATATTCATTTATTCAAATAATAAAAAAAAATTACAAAGTTAAATTAAAAAAGAATATTAAAACAAAGTATTTAAAATAACATAATGGAAAAATCATTATCATCATCATCATCATTGTCATCATCATCCCCTTGACTTTTGTAATCGAAGGGCGGATTCGAATACAGAATCCCCACTAACTCTTTTCCACAACGGTCTATCAACGGCAGCCATCAGCAGTTCTGGTACAGTCATACCTGTCAATTGTTTGACATTGTCCAACCAGTTTTTGCGTTGGCGACCTCTCCTACCTCCACCTTCAACGGTGCCTTTCATAATGGTCTTGCACACCCTGTTTTGACTTGTAATGTGTTCAAACCACGCCATTTTATTCTCCTTTTGACAATGGCGAGAAGAGATTCCTTCTTGGCCCACAAAACTTTCAACCCTTTTCCACACAAACTCATTGATTTTTGTTCTCAATATAAAATGCCAAGGAGTTTTCTCCTGCATTTGTCCTCAAACTCTTCGATCCTTCTCTCTGTAGGACAGTGAAGAATTATTTGAAGAATAAGTTTTTATTCATTTACTCAATTGCCATTACTACTTCCACAGACACACATACATGTTTGCTGTGACAATATTTTACAGTACACTTAAGATGATCGTGCGGCTCACTAGTGTGCCCGCGACACACGGGTTGAGAATCACTGGTTTAAACTATAAGAATTCCATGTAGTAGATATTAATGATTTACTGATACAAGTCCTACTAGTTAACCTATAGTTGATGGAGAAGTGGTGGATACGTACATTTCCCAAGAGAATTGACGCGTAAATGAATAATACGAACCCGACTGGAATTAGAACACGGCTCTCTGATTTCCAATTTAGAGCTGTTATCCATTACACCACCGTACTTCCAAGCTTACATTACCTGGTATTCTCATATCGGCCACCCACCATGCAGGGAATATAAGAAACGAAGAATTTAGAAGTACAAAGACACAGTTAATAACAACCAGAAAATAGAGAGATGAATTTTGGGATACACATAATGAGGAAGGAAGGCTTGGAGATTAAGAGAAGCAGATGAAAGCAATAATAGTAATATATTTCATAAAAAATCAGGCAATTTGCAGTGTAAGCCCCGCTCACGAATTGCAATTGAAATTTCCTTAAAATTTCCATTTCAGTGTAAATTTACATGATTATTTCGAAAATAAAAGTAAAAGTTTGAGGAAATCTACCGTTTTGGAGTTATCAACAATAAAAGTTCGGACTCATTCGCATCGCGGCTACAGCACGGCAGTCATGCACGGAAGCTTACTTAGTGACCTTTTTACTGATCTTACTTGTCTCAATTACTGCGCAAAACCAAAAGAAGTCTTTAGACACCTGTGAAACTGAAGATTTTATTGAATTTTTTAAATAAAAATTAAGTTATTTAGAAAAGCACTGGGAAGTGTTGCCTTTTTTTTTTTTTTAATAAAAATGAACTCTTGTTTAAATAATAAAACAAATCTTAAAAGGTAGCCTTTCCGCAATTATCATTGCTCTTTTGTAAGTAATAAAGATTTTTAAAAACCCAAATTTTGTGAAAAAATAAAAAATTGCACCTTTAAAATGTTCTTGTTATTATTATTAATTCCTTTCTAGCATTTTTTTAATTTTTTTTAATAACCCAGCTCTTTTAAATTTCGCGCAAATAATCAAGACAAGTGAGGCTTCGGCGCATGATTACTCGTGGCAAACGTATGTAACCAACACCAGTAATGGCTGCCGTGCTGTAGCCACGACGCGAATGAGTCCGAACTACAAAACGATAGATTTCTGAAAACCTTTACTTTTATTTTTGAAATAAGCATGGAAATTTACATGGAAATTTTCAGGAAATGTTAATTACAATTGCTGTGCGGGGCTTAAACTGAAACTGAAAAATCCCCCCAAAAAAAATAACTTTATGTATAGTGTTGTCCCTGAAAAATTGGGCATTAGATTTAAGACCCACAGAAAAAATTAACCTATGACTAACGTGCCCTCGATTATTTGTTGCGTATAAAAAAAAACGATCATTAAAACACGCACTATACTTGAGAATATACGGTAGTTTGTTACGGGGCTAATTATTTGGGGGAAGAATTGTTCAGTGCCACTTAGGATACGAATCTGTGGAGAATTATGATAACCTACATCGTGAAGAGACACAGTACATAAAGAGAAAAGGAAGCATATTTCGGGGAAAAGGGTTCATATATTAAAAGTAGAAACTATTATGGAAATAAGGTAACGCTACTCAAAATATCCCGGCGGGTCATAAATTCGTTCCCCAAATTTAGAATAAGCAAATTACTCAATTAACAAAATGATTTTGTTGCAATATTTCTACAACGTTAGTGTTTGCCAATACCATTTTGGCAGACCCCACACAATGTTCTCGTAACGTTACATAGTAATGTTGGAAAGACATTACTTCCTATCATTACATTTAGAGAAAATTGATAATAAATTACATGAAGGTATTAGAACGTGAATTTATCATCCAGATTTAAAAAATACGAAAAGAAATTCCATACCTTCTACCCATATTGTTAAGGGAAGAAAAAGCATTCTAATATTATTTGACCAGTGCGGAATTTTTCAACATCAGCACTTAACAGTTACGATAACGTTGTGACAACGTTGGAGATGAGCGGTGAGTTGGGTGAGAAAATTATTGGGCTGTTCAGGAAATAATGACCGATTTTTGGAAAAACCCTTTTAATTATGTTCTAATATATTATAACAGTTGTACAAAAATATTTTACTCAATACTTATGATTAATAGTCCTGGGTATGAGGGGCGTGGAAGCACCTCTTAATTGCTGTCGTGCAAGGTCCACATTAACAGAGCATTGAATAATAGATCCCTGTATTCAGACATTAATGCGTAAGGCTCTGAAGCTCCACAGTAGGGATACAAATCTTGAAGCTCAATGTAGTAGAGAACGCTCATCACCGGCGAACAACATTTGAAGACATTAGTTGAACAAAACACACGTCAGAGTGTCAGAGAAATGTCTCAGATAGTGGGTGTCAGCCTTTCAACAATATCGAATCATCCCAAAGATAATTGGCAAGGTGCACTCGTTAAATGGATCCCCCGTTGAATACAGTGAAAGTCAGTTAGTTTTGAAGTGGTCCATCTGCAAAATTCAAATGGACCACTTCTTGATCGAATAGTGACTTGTGACGAGACATTGATCCTTTATGACAATCGTAAACAATCGGCTCAATGGCTTTTTTCTAAAAACCAAAATTGCAACAAACAGAAGATTATGGTGACTGTCTGTTGGTCTGCTGTTGGTGTTATCCATTACAGTTTTCTGGAATCTAACATCACTGCCAAAGTTACTGCCAGAAACTCGATGAAATGCACATTCAATTAAGCAAAATGCAACCAACACTGGTCAATCGACGAGCTTTGATTCTATGTCATGAAAATGCTCGACCACTTATTGCCACGATAATGTTGCTTAAGCTCACCAACTCGAGATACGAGACTTTGTCACATCCACCACCCTATTCTCCAGCTCTTCTGTCCATTGACTACCAATTTTACAAGCCTCTTGACAATTCCTTAAAGCTAAATGACATTCCGTTTTGAAGATGTAGAAACTGCACTCAAAGATATCTTGGCGTCCAATCATTTATTGCAAAGGCATTAATAACCTTGATAACTCGAAGACAGAAATGTATAGATGATCAGGGTTCCTATTTTGACTGATTTAAACCGTTTAAATGCATTAATTCAAGAAGAAAAATTGATTCTAAAATCAGATGTGATTTTCTAAACAACCAAATTGTTGATTGTAACGATAAAGTAACCTCGCCACAATGCCATCTATCACCCAACCAATATACAACAAGTCTGCAACATTCAAAGAACGTTCCTTGTAAGCTGGGTAAATTCAGAGGTTTGGAAATCGATTCTTAAGACTACTCGTGCCATATTTATCTGAGTTTATTAAATCCCAATAGGGTCTTCAAGCAAAGTCTTTCTTGGAATGTTAAAGACTCTTATTATTGTAGGTAATACGATCTCAACATGGTGTCCACATCGACACTGGCATTTTCATCACGAAACGTTTTATCAGGGATTGTTTTTTTCCGCAAAGGTTTTTGGGGTCTTATAAAATGAAAAGAGTAAATGGAAGAGACATTCGTTGTTTGTTCAATGGTTGGTATGCGTCAGTTAAACACATTTGATGGTATCAAATGGCATCATATCAAGGACATGGGATGGGGAGAGCAGTTTCTTGACTGTAAAGAGTGTTTCCAGTAATCATTTTCAATTAAAGACAGATCAGGGATGGTCAAGCCTCACACTAACCAGATTATTTTTTATACAAAGCCGTTGTTTATTTACTTTTCCCTCATTCTAGATTTAATATAATCCTTCAAATGTGTTACATCTGTATTTACATCCATAAATGGTAACGTAGAAATTTAAATAGAAAACGGCGATATTCTGTCGTTAAGTTTTCCCTATTCCCCGACAGTAAACAATCCCATGTTTCATGATTTTCAATGCATTTCTATAGTAAAATAGTAATACATTTTCATTCTACATACAAAAACGCTATTCTGTCAGTTATAATTACCT